AGTGTGACTGCTGTCTTGAGTTACAACTAAGAAGCTACGGATTCTCTAATTTATCACAAGAACTTAATATTATCTGTACAATTCCCTTGAGAACCAACATTTTGATAAACTATGAAAATTTTCTATGTAGAAGTTTGAGTTCAATAAGGAGATGATCTTCTAGTTTCCCAGTAAAATTTGCAGTCCTGTTATCACTATGAATTTTTTTTATTGGGGTAGCTTCCTTGTGATGGCATGTTTTCCAGCAATGAATCTAATTTATGTTCTTGTCCATTAATCGACATTTATGTGTCGAGTCGTTTGTATTGGTTTATTTCAAGCGATTGAAGTTAATTCTACATAAGCAGATGTCACTCCCTGCTAAAGCTGCATCTATGCAAGTTCCTCAAATTGAAAAATCACAGCCCAAGATCTCAAAGAAGAAGAAAGAGAAGAGATCGAAGAATGACAGAAACAGTGAGATCTCATCAAGAAACAGCGAAGACCCGTACCAAATTCTGAAATATCCTGTAACAACCGAGCACGCCCTAAAGGAGCTTGAAACTAACAACACGCTCGTCTTCGTGGTTGACAAGCGAGCAGACAAGAAGAAGATCAGATCAGCAGTGGAGAAATTGTACAGCATCCAAACAAAGAAAATTAACACTTTGATGAGGCCTGATGGGAGTAAGAAAGCGTATGTGATATGCAAGAGTGATGTCTCAAAAATATTTGGTTTCGTGTAAAATTTTCTGAGTTGTAGCGTGTATCAATATTTTTGTTAAGAGATGGGAATGAGGGGATTGAATCTCTTCGCCTTCAAGTTTGATTTTGGTTTCTTGGTCTGTGTTTTCTTCATCCGTGTTTCTTGTGCGTTATCTACTTTCATATCATTAGAAACCAGAGGGATATAAGAATGAATGGAGGTGCTTCGTACTTCAATCTATGACTTGTAAAATTCTCTCTTTACCTCCAAGCCCGATCTTGGTGACGAAAATAATTAGTATCGATACGCATATACTGCGTAGTTAACCATTATAACTAGACGATAAATTATCATATTAGCTACCACGATGTAACTTTTCGGGGGTAAAAAGAAAGGGGAAGAAGAGAACCAGGATGTAAGTTGCAGCTTTAGAGGTGGAGACCTTGCTCATAATAAGTTTCATTATTAAAACTTAAGATTTCGAGTATACTATATCCACTCTTTCAAAAGAAAAAAAAAGTTATGACCCACATGTATTTTATGAGTAAATCTTGTGCACAATCAAATGTGTTTTATCCACGGGGAGTGATTTAGACAGTTAGGAGGTTTTAATATGGCTTGTACGGTTTTAGATTCAATTCCGGGGCCGGTTACCAAAAAAGAAGAAGAAGAATAAGATCACTTCTTGATAACATTGATTCAATATAAAAAGAGTTTATATAAACAAAATTACAAGATTACAAAAAACGGAAAAAATGGTTGGCTTATGTACTGAATATCTAATGAAAACCATTTTGATAGTTTTTCCCAAATAGAATTTTGATCAGTTCTAATTAAAATTTAAGAAAATAATTAATATATAAATTAGTAATAAATTATAAACACATAATTATCGTTCCATAGTAGCACATGCCTACTTATTTCACACACAAAAAAAAAAAATCCATTTTTAGGAATTGCTAAATTGCACTTATATACCCTAAGTTTCCCCAAATGCGCACTTATATGCCCCCACTCGTGCTATGTGCGATTAAATTTTAAGTATTGCTTCCTTCCGCTAGTTTTGCCTAACAGTACTAAGAAAACTTGATTTGACAAATATACCCTTTGGTTAAAAAATCCCCACAGTGAAAAAACTTTACCTTTCATTTGGTCTCCCTCCTTTTCTCTTCTTCCCAGCTCAAATTGTGTCCTTTGGCAGAGTTCACAGCACGTTAGATCTAGAACTAGGATTACTGATCATGGGATTAGAGGCTAGACGCATGTTTACTAGTATTCCGTTGCACATCATGTATGTCTAATACATTACATTTTTGGTAAAATATTTCATATATTTAGAAGATTGGACATATTGGATTAAAAATAGATTTGATAAACGAAATATTTGTAAGTGATAATTTAACGTGCTGAAATATTCAGTGGCGTCCAAAATCAATACTTGGTGTACTCAGTAGAAGTGTAAAGAAACTTATGAATGCATTCCTGGGGTTCATCAAACTCGGGATTGTCAGACGCAACATTCTGCTTTCTTTTTTCTTGGAGGTACATTGTGTTATCTCACTTTTCAATTTTCACAAAAGCTAAAATTTTCAACCTAAAATATTCAATAAACTAATATCAAACATTGACAATCAATTAAAGCTTTTATCGAAAATTAAGTTTGTAGAGGAATGTAACCTGAATTCGAAGATGTTATAGTCTGTAAATAATTAAGTGCTAATCTTTCTTGAGTTGTTGACACACATCCCACTCCATGCCAGATCAAATATGATAAGAGCTCAGACGATCAATGTGCACATCGCTTGTGGCAGATATGGAAATTATCCACATCCAATTCGTATGGATGCTAGATTTTCTAAAAATATTTATTGTATCAAGATTCGAGAAATGAATCTAGGTATGAATATTGTAAAACTCCTGATCCAGTCTTTTAATAGGAACAACTAGGGGAAGATTGTCAAGGATCCTGTCAGTTGTCAAGTTGATGCATTTGCATAAGGATAGTGGCACATATAACGGCCATGTAAAGATTCATAGCAAAAGGCTGTGTTTATTTAGATAAGTTGTCTTACATATTAACCCGGTACTCATCCTCTATCTTTTCCTTTAGATCCTTCACTTCTTTTTCATTGGGAGTTATCTTGCAGACAATGTGGCACGTCTCGGGCTCTCTCATTTCAAACTAAACACAATAGGTACTGATAGAATTAAGAGTACAAAATTCAGCTAGATAAAGCAAAACAGCTGCATAAAATTAATAACTGAAATATCAATAAGATGGTATCAAACCACATAGGGAGAGTTTTCAATACGATCCCCACGAAGAACTTCTCCAAGATTCTCGGCGCTGTCAAGGGCGCGTTTGGAACAAATTTTTTTTTTGGGTTTTTTGGGTGAAAGCACACAATGTCAGGCTTTCATCCTAAAACGACTCTTTTAGAGGCGTGTGTCAGGCTTTCACCCTAAAACCCTCCTTTTTTTTGGGTTCCAAACGCGCCCCAATTGTAGTTGTTGGCTTACAGTACGAAAGTGAATAATAAGAATATGGAAGCTGAGTCTTTATTGAAGTTAGCTTGTTCACTTTCACCGTTAGTGGATCTTTCTGCAGCCAAAACTTGTATAATTCTAAGTGCTAGAAATTGTTAAATTAACAAAATGACCAATTTAAAGTGTACGACGACGCATTACAGAAGCGATATTTCGGGATTGATATAATTAATGACATGTCTAAAGCACTCCATAGGGTGCGAAATATGACAAGATACTTTCAATGACTCCACATAAATCAACTTAGCTTATGCAAAGCTTAATAGTTGGGGGATAGAATTGGTTAAGTCCCGAAGTGCCCCCGCACTATATAAACCCACCGAGCCCCGACTCCCCCAAACCCACCTCAATCTGCCGCCTCCCTCTTCTCCTCTTCCGTCGGCTCTCCCTCCTCCAAGCGTCGGATCTCAATTCTCACCCCGTTTCTGCGGCCGAAATGAATCGAAAGTTTACTCAAGATCTCTAGGTAATTTCTTTTCCTTCTCTCCTCTTTTAACACGTAGAAATCTATGGTTTTCTCTCAAAAATGAATTTCTTGGGTTTTCTCTCTAGGTGGTTCAAAATGCTTTGTGTGATGATTGTTATCGCTGAAATTAACTTTTTGGGCATAGAATGTTCAATCCTAGGGTTTAGGATTTACAATTTTGGTTAAAATTATATGAGATGAATTGCATGTTATTTTAATTTTTGACATTTAAATGATATAATTTTCTTCTGAATAGGTTGAACGAAATGACGAAAGGCCGTCTTCTCAAAGCCCTGATATCGAAATCCACCGGCAAGACCGCCGGCAGGAACTCCTCCGGCCGCATCACCTCCTTCCACCGCGGCGGCGGATCGAAGCGGCTCCAGCGAACGGTCGATCTCAAGCGCAACACTCCGGCGACTGGAGTCGTGGAGAGGATCGAGTACGATCCCAATCGATCCTCTCGCGTCGCCCTCGTTCGCTGGATCGACGGCGTCAGTTTCCTGCGTCGAGGTCAGAGGAAGGCCGACGATCTCTCTCCCCCGGCGGAAAGTAAGGTTCTTGAATTTCCCATCTCCTCGGTTTTCTCGTTCTCGACTCTCCCTGTGGATGCGAAGGGAGAGAATCCAACTGTTTTGCCCAGTTTGTTAGGGTTTCGTTTCCCGAGGATCGCTGTAGCTGGAGCAAGGCCGGCATTTTTCGCTCCCCGAGCAGCGGGAGAGGAAGCCATTGGAGAGAATTTGACTCTTGATGAAATCCGGAGGTGGAAGACTCGGTCGATTGATCGAAAAGCAGCCCTTTCGTGGCAAAGCTCGGTGATTGTGGAGTCGAAACCTAAGCTTGAACAGAGTAACTTGCTCCCAACCCAAGTGCTTTCCTATGATTTATCTAATGGCCGGTCTCTTTATCAGAATGCAGCTCCTTTTAAGCCTAAAGTAGGCAAAGGGCCAGAGGGGGGCTGTGTGCCTGTCAGTTATATTATAGCTAGCGATCATTTGGAGCCTGGGAAGACTGTTGTGAACTGTGATTTGCCCAAACCTTTGCAAAGCAAGAAGCTTTTGCAGGCTGATCAGGGTGCTGATATGCAGAAGAAGCTGCAGGAGATTAGCTATGAGAGGCTTGATTTGAGTTTGCAAGTGGGTAATTGCATACCTTTGACTGATATAAGAATGGGATCATGGGTACATGATATTGAGTTGCGCCCGGGTCAAGGTGCAAAGCTGGCTCGATCTGCAGGAACCTATGCTAAAGTGATTAAGGAGCAAGACGCACAATGTCTGATTCGGATGCCTTCGGGTGTTGAGAAATGGGTTGACTCTCGATGCAGGGCTACTATTGGAATAGTTTCTAATCCTGAACATGGTGCAAGAAAGCTTAAGAAAGCGGGTCAGAGTCGGTGGATGGGTAGGCGCCCTGTTGTTCGTGGTGTTGCCATGAATCCAGTGGATCATCCTCATGGTGGAGGTGAGGGTCGTACTAAAGGAGGTAGACCTTCGGTTTCACCATGGGGGAAGCCTACTAAGGGAGGGTTTAAAACAGTTCTGAAGGTTGCATCAAAAGGCGAACTTTGATTCATGCCATGAAGAACCATATTGAACGGAAGTCCTTTTTTATGCTTTTATCTTGAGAATAAAGAGCACAGAGAACCTTTAGCAGGAAGATTTGGCGTGTTGAGCTTTTAGTTCACTGGATTCCGGAGATGACAGTTCAGTGTACACCTATATTCAGTAATTTCTTCTGTTAATCCTTCATATAACGTTGGAAATTGGCTGACACATGGACAACAATGTAATGATTCACTATATGGGTGCAGGAATAGGAATGAGTAGAATGTAGGGGTCAGTTCTATGAGAATTGTTACTTCATCCTTGTACTTTAGCTTTATTTGTATCCTGCTGTGAATTATTTTTGCTGCAACTGCTTTTATATCAACTTTTTAGTAAACTTTTATTGAATATACGCTCTAAATTAGCATTGTTATATTGATGTAATTCCCTGATAGGACATTGGATAATCGTTGATATAAGATGCCTATTTTTTCGTTTTCTTTTTCAATTTTGATGTTTGTATATGTATTTTTTTAGCTACTATAAATGTTGCTATAAGATTCATACTATTAAACTTGGTAAAAAATCAAGTACTGAGTAGTTGATCAATTCATTGATGCAAGGTGACTTAGTTGCATTAATGCTATACCCTGCTTTTATTTTTTTCATTGATGTTTACGCAATAATCCTAATTTGGGCTTTAGTTTCACCAGTAGATCTTGTTTATTCATGGCAAGTGCATCACCCATATACTTTATGATATGTGTGTTCCGAGATTTATACTATTTTCTTTGTAGCAATGGAGGCCATGGAGCAAATTTTGAGGTAATCTGCCACTTATTATAGTTTACATCATATGTAGTGTGTCATCCTCATCATCCTGAAGTCCCTACTCACTCCAAGACTTTATTATAAAAAAAGCAATAATGGAGACCATGGAACAAGTTTAGAGGTAACTTGTACAGCTTATATTATGCCTTACATCGTCATCTAATCTGTTGTCATGAATTCATATGTGCTTGTCTTAAGGTAGTAACTCAGTTACAACCTTTTAGTCGAATGGGTTTTGTTTTTTCATGATTGTGAGATGGTTCTAAAGGCTGCACCTTCCTTTTCATCTTCTTTATTAAGAATATAATTAGAACCTCCAACGCAAAGTATAGGAATGTGCAGATCACAAACCCATCACCTTATATTTTACGTATTCGAGGCCCTGCGCCGAGTGTGAATTTGGCAGGTTTGTTCTTTGTAGAATAACTCGTTATTATGGGAGGGGTGTAGGGGTAACTACAGAAATATGAACATTAGCAGATTTTAAGAGGGGATAAAAAAGTATCCCCGTCGTCTTGAGTCATGACTTAGCATGAAACCTTCCATTCTTGCTTGAATTCTTATTAGTATATCATTGATAATTCTTAGGAGTTATTTTGTGAGGGTAAGACCTGGTTTAAGCATATGCCTTTCAAGTATCTGTACCAAACAGTTAGAGGCATGATCTGCCAGTTAGATCTATGCACCATTTAT